GGGTCCTGGGGCTCGGCCGCCGGCCCGCCTGCAGGGCGCTGTTTTGAACACAGACGCCGGCATTGGGACCTCGGCTGTGCCGTGGCGCGCTCCCTAGGGGCCCCGAGCCTGGGCCCGGGGGTTTCCGTCTGGGGCCCATAATCTGTAATCCTTCTCGAAGGTAAGTGGCCCTTGTGTTAATCGCGACCCTGGAGGCTAATCGCCAAGGCCACTGGAACCGGCGCCTCGGAGGTGGCAAGGAAAAAACTCAGTCAGCGGGAGTCACGTCCCGGAAGGAGCGGGGGGGCGGTAAATGACAAGAGCAAGAAGCCAAGCTCTGAGCAGCCCCTTAATATTGGTGGCGGCGACCGGGCCCGTCTGGGGCTACTTGCGAACGCCGTAAGAGTGGCTGCCCCGCCAGGACGTGGACCGGGCCGGGAGGACGACTGCAGTGTCCGCAGAGGAAGCCTGCAGGCGTCTCGGACCTCTGGCCGGCGGGCTCAAGGTGCCCTCGACGCTGGCGCGCGCGCGACTGCCAGGCCGAGGCGACCGCGCTCCCTGGTCTGAACTGGGAGCACTCAGAATCCGTTATCAAGTATGAAGGCGCCTGGAGATAAGCGGCCCTCCCCTTTGCCAGCCAAGTCTCACCCAGGGGTCTGCGCGACCCGAGCCCCGGACAGGCCCTGTCCAGCAGTGCGCTCGGCTGCCCGCGCGCCTCGCACCAGCTGGCTCGGCCACCGGGGCCGCGCGCGCCGGCTCGTGTCCGGGTAGGCGAGCGCGGCCGGATCCCAGGCTTGGCTCGCGGAAGGCGCGCCGCCCTTTTGTGCGACTGTCCCCGCTCACTTCGAAACCCTAGCTTTCTTCTCCCGCGGGTTCGCGTGTCGCCCGGTTTCGGTTCTTTTCGGAGGCGCTCTCTTTTCTCTTTCGTTCTGTCTGCTCCTGCGCGATCCGTCCTCTTCTTCCAACCCGCTTCCTTCGATCGTTTCTTGGTTGGTTTCTGGTTCTTCGTTTTAGAACAGTCCATCAGCCCAGCTCACGGGCCGCCGTTTACCACTAGTCACCGCTGCTCCCGTCGGGTGCTTTGTTCGATGTCCTTCCCCCTGTTTGGGGCCGTTGTTCCCACTTTCCGGTGTTTTTCCCCCGTATTTCGTTGTCGACAACACCCTCGAAGCCAGAGCCGAGGTCTGGGAGTTCGTCCCCGTCGCGGTCCGCCCGGGCTCTGCGAAGTGCACCCTGCGCCGGGCAGGTCTTGGGGCACAGGCAGTAGTTGCGGGAGTGGGCGCCCCGCGAGGACCCAGGCCCGGCGAGGGGGTCCTGCCGCTCGCAGCGCGCTGGGCCAACCCGGGCTACCTGTCCCTGGCGGTGCT